CAAAATATGACCTGGTCTTCTAGCCAAGCTCCGACCGGCGTTTGGGCTCAACAAGCTTTGGTCAGAACTTGGCCGGTGACCATTCCAGCCACCCCTGGCAGTCTGTCCCCCCCTTAATCCTCTTAGCTTGAGGAGCTGAGAAGATTGAGGCCAAAGGCCAAGCGAAATAGCCGGCAACTCGCCGGATTTCTACCCGGCCGATGGCCTCCCGAGCCTAAAGGCCCGAATTTTGGCTTGAACTGGCCGGTAGCTCAGCCGGACTGGTTCGCTTGCCAAAATAGAGCCTACAGGCCCTATTTTTGTATTTTCCATTGGATCGGGTCCTAACTGGGCCCGATCTGGCTCGGGACCTGGGTTGACCCCAACTTGGTTTAGATCCGGAGATCCGACCCGGGTCAACGAATTTGGGTCGGGTCCATTGACCTGGGTTGGATTTGACCCGACTTGCATATGCCGACCCGATCCGATATAATATTTTATTATTTTTAATTAAAAAATATTAATAAAAAATTAAAATATTTTGATTTTTTTCTTTTTTTTCCTTTATAATCGTAATTATTATTATTTTTTTAAAAATATTTTTTTTATTCCTTTTAAAATTAGGAATTAGTTTAGAAATTAGTATTTTTGAATATTATTCTAAATTATGTTAATTACTTGATTAATAATCATGTTTAGATTGGATAAGCCCATAGGGCTATGTAGTAGAATTTTGGATGTTACTTTTACTAATGTTGTGTGTATGTTGTTTCTAATTAGAATATAATTACATAAATTGTCCTATTTTGAATGTTGTCACCTTAGTTAAGATTAGAACCTTAGGCTGCATATCTATCTTGACTGCTAATCGTTAATGATTGTGCACTCTCTTGATCACCTCACATATTAGGAGATAGGTCCTAAAATCAATCCAAGTTGAATGAAAAATATTTTTTGAAATGAACATGATGAAAGGTACCGAAAGGGCATTAGTTACTCAACTAGTGTAACCAAGTCCCCAAACTCATTTAATCTCTGGTTTGTAGGAATAGGGTAATTCTCCCGTCACTTTACTTGGGTTTTTAATCAACCCACTCCAAATTTATTAGTGACGACTTCTAAATAAAAATCACTTGCATGTTAAAAACCTAAACCACAAGTAGCGATATGATATGAGCTTGGGAGAGCCCAATTTAAGTCTCAGATCTAGACTTAGCGTGTACCAAGCTACGCCACATTTTCCCTCTTCCATGAAAAAATTCGGTGGGTTGCGACTGGGGTCAATAACGTCAATATGTTGTGTGTTGCTTTCTATCATTATCTTGTATCGACATCGACAGGAGAATAACTATACAATTTTTTTTTATTATACTCTCTCTCTCTCTCCCTGCAATTATCTGGACAATCGATAAGAGTCAGAGAGTTGAATTTAACCTGATGCAAGAGAGTTTATACAATATTCGATGCTTTCTTTCTTCTTTTGCCAACTTGTTCTTTTAAAGATAGGTGGTGAGCTGCGTGTTAGATGTAATAGTCATGTTTGATAAATTGTTAATGGATGATAACTAGGGTTTGTTTAGCGTGACTTTTATTTTCTGTTGCGGAAGCCAAGCAATCGAATAATAAAATTAACGGAATAAGAAAAATAAATTGAACATCAGATTTATGTGATTCTGTCGTAGTGAACTATGTCCACGGGGAGAGCAGCACAGAATTCCACTATAAATCAAGCGATACAACGGAGATTAAAAACTACACTCGAGTCATTCAAACACTCTAAGTGTTTCCCAAGCTCCAATTACACTCAATAACTCACGCAGTGTTTAGCCCCACAATTCCTCACGAAATAATCTCTCAATCTCGCGAAGGAATTATACACAAATCTTACCACAATATTTAATCGCTATAAATACTTGAATTCTTGGTATAATTTCACAAACAAAATCACGAAGCCACTGCCAAGCACTCGATTGAACATGGCGCTTCAAGAATCAATCTTCGTTCTGGACATAGACGGCATGAAGATCACGCTCTGCACTCATCAACGACGGCACTCTTCGAGCACTCACAGAAGCGGCGCTTCTATTTGTCTCTGTGCAAGAAAGCCCCACATATAAAGAATATATATTTATATGTGCCCATGTTTTTAACCGAATCATGGTCCAAAAGAAAGTCCATGTTGACTTTCCAAGTTCTGTGGCCGAACTCCAATACATATTAGGAAAGCTTAATGCGGTGAATTTCCTTTTCTATTTTGTCTTGACCGACTCTTCAATACAGAAATAATTTCTGTAATCTTTAAGATTTGCCTTTGAACTTTCATACATCGGACACATAATTCAATTCGGATCGGGACATCTATCGTACTCAAATTCGAGATATATTTTAAAATTTTTCATTCTTCGTTTCTTGAAACGTTCAGAATTTGACTTTGCTTAAGTGTAAAACCGCTAAAATCTTTTCATACATATCTATTAACTTTTTTTCACTATTCTTCAAAAGCTGACAAGTATAAAACATGAGCTCGTTCTTTACTATCTTTAGTTGTCAGCAGATCTTCGTTTTGCTTTGACCCAAGTACAAATTAGGTGGATTCTCTTGTTTACAAAAGGAACAAAGATCCTATTTTAGATTGTTAAAAGACGACCATGACCTTCGAAAACGGCTTTGCCCATTTGAGTCCGTCGGTAATAAGAATTCTAGTCCGCCTTTTTGGCTAGAATTCATGCTAAGGATTTACCATTAAATCTTCCACGAACAACCAGCAAAGACTAGTAGTTCTGGAACAGGTTGGTTTGAGGACTTTTCCTCCTACGTCGAGGTCAATGTGCGAGCTAAAAAGGTAAGGAGAGACAAAAGAGCTACGGCTGTTGTATGGACCTTTTGATATTGAGTCAACCAACGTATTGATCACGACCTTTTTATTTCCTGGAAAATGATGGACAGAGCCGCGCAAACTTCATATATTAGCGCACAAAAGGAAAGGAAAAATAAAAAAAGAAGAAGAACAGAACCAGCTCTCGAAGTGTAAAACATGCATGAACAAGTATGGATTGTCGTATTGCCTCTCTGAGACTGATCTGTTTTCTTTTCTCTACGATCAAGTTGGGAAAACACGAAGATCTTCTGATACGTTGCCTTGATGTAAATGATGAAGAAGATCATGAGCTCAAAGGGTCCGCGTTGACTTATATCCTATTAGCTCGTCAACACGTATAAACCCTCCTCATGTCTATTACATTTCGGTGTCCTTTCCAAGATATGCACCATCAACTACGATTGACTTTGGCTGTATAATTTGCTAATAAACACTCAGACAGATTTGCGAAATTGCTTAAGCTGCAAGGCAAGAGTGCTACATAAGTCATATCAATGTTGAAAAATATCGAGTGAAAGTAAAACAGAGTATGACTATATATCATGCATGACTACCCATACCAAACACGGCGTGTCGTGTGGAGTATGAGAACCGTAAGCGAAACTTACTGAGAAATGAAGGTGGCAAGTCATGGGAACTGCCATGGTAACACAACTCCAACGTACCAACCGTGTGTCTATTGACGCGGTTTCGATTTTCGTATGACCTAGATTTTGGGTGGACTTACCAAGACCAATAATAATAATACTACTATAGAAATGACATGCAAAATGAAATCTCAATTCAAATGATATGCAAATTAAAATGTCGTGGTAACATGACCAAGGGTGAGCACCGGTCCCAAATTGGCCCAGAGAACCTGCCTAAATTGGCCAATTCTCGATGAGTAGGGTAGGTTCATGAGTGAAATTCCGGGGAAGGGAAGCGAGCAAGGCTAGTTTAGTTCCTAGGAAGAGTCGGTCTACCAAAAGCAGGGTTTTAGGGTAGAATCGAATTTTAATCCGTTTCGATCTTAGTTTCAAAAGAATATACAAAAGGTGCAACAAAGGAAAAATGAATTTAATATTTCTTAAATATGAAAAAAACTTGACACAGAATTCCCGACTCTATCATGAAACTGGCCCCCAAGATTGTAGTAGCTGCTCGCAGAAAGGTACCAATTGCCACGGGAAGTTCGGTTCCAAGCCGGTTTGAAAGGATCCAAATTCGATTTCCGATTTTGAAAACTTGCAATCAACTATGATTGAATAGGTTTCAAGTTGACTTACCCTGGAATTGATCATCCCTATTCATGACATGACATAATTAAGTATATATTTAAACAAAGCATGAAAATAATGTGACATGAAAACTCAGATATGACATGACATAATAAATTCGAAATAAAAAACTTGACATGACATGAAAATTAGAATGCAACATGACTCGACGAATTCAAAATGAGAATTACAACAAACTGAAAATTACATGGCATTGGCAACTCAAAAGAAACATGATGTGGTTGATTAGAAACAAAAAAAAGAAAAAGTGATACGGAACATGACATGACGTGACAATCAATATTACGGGAGTTTACTTGTTGATTAAATGCACTTAAAGAGAAGAATCTGAGGTCCAATTGATCTCTGTAGTCTAATAGAGAAAGCTCAATGAAGATGGATCATATTTCAAGAATACTTCAATTAGGGTTTCAAAAAAGAGATAAGGACACTTCAAAAATGTAACACGGTGTAGCTAGGGACTGAATTTCCTGACAACTGCATCGAAGCTTCAAATAAGAGGCCTATCTTTCATGGGTAAATTGCGTAGTTGGTGACGACTTGGTCATGTTCAATGGAAATCGCTGTAAAACCCCAATCGCGCTTAATCTTCTTCATCATCCATCAAATCACTTTCACAGAGAGAGAGAGAGAGAGAGAGAGAGAGAGAGAGAGAGAGAGAGAGAGAGAGAGAGAGAGAGAGAAGAGATTTGTCTCAGAGGCAATATGGCCGTCTGTATCTACTCCTATCACTCATCTTAATTTTCTTGTGTTTGGTTAATTTCCTTGTTTTGTTTGGTCTACATCGATAGTTGTCTCCTCGTCTGTCTTCTTTTCGAACTTTCCCTTTTCTTTCGCGCGCTAATCTCTCTTGCTTGTTTGTCCATCGTATCCAGGTGAGAGTACAGATTGAGCTCATGACGAACGACCAGGGACGCAGGACCACAGCACGTACGATCGCAGCAACCGCAGCAAATGGTAACAATTCCTAGAACACAATCCCTCTATCATGGCTATATATAGTTTGCTATTTGATACTCCCAATCACCCTCATCTCCCGATTCTCCGTGTACACAGATTTTATCGGAATGATTTCGTGCATTAACCATCAATATCCTCCTTCTCTTCCAGCATATATATTTTAAAGAAAACCCTACTCTCATTATCATGGACAAAGAATTCACACCCTTGTATATGTATCTGTCATCAAAACAGGGTTAAGGTCAGTGCAGTTTGTCGGGGAGGGTGGCGGTGTGCTGGAGGTGATTGCCGCCTCGATCGATGTGACAACGGTCGTCAACAGAATACGAAGTATTGCCGGGCTGCGGGATGCCAGGTTGATCAGCGTTGTGGAGCGAGACTGAAAAATTCTCAATGATATTTGAGCACGCATGTTGCTCGTGTGGTTTTGGTGTGCTTTCTTGTAGCTTTCGTTCATGGGAGTCAATACCGATGATATGTCGTGTGTTGCTTTGTATCTTTATCTTATACCAACATTTACAGGAGAATAACTATGTGCAAAGTTTCTTTATTACTCTCTCTCGATTACTGTCTAAGACATGCGTCAGCCCTAGCTTCTACTACCATGAAATTATCTTTTATAAGGTTCTTCACATGTGATGATGTCGTTCCCCACGAACTTCATAGCAAATTCTAATCTGTGTTCGGCCTTATTCGTTCTCTAACGACCTACTTTGACCTGCAATTCTTATTCTTCGAAGCTTTAAAGGAAACTGGGAAAATTGTCAAAAAAGTCCAAAACCTATTGTACTTTTGCCAATTTAGTCCTAAACCTTTTAAGTTTGCCAATTCAATCCTAAACCTTTTCACTTCTTGCCAATTCAGTCCATTTGGCCGGCCGGCAATGACGTGGCTGTCGGCCGTCCGGCCAACGCTGACGCGGCAATTTTTAAATATTTTTTTTTCGAATTTTTTATTATATTTTTATTTTTTTTCTTCCTTTTCCCTCTGGCGAGTCCGGCGACCAGCAACCGGCCAGAGGCGTAGGCCGGCAACGTCGACCTCGCTAGCCTCTGGTGAAGCTCGCTCCCGCCGGCCACTGGCGAGGGTGAATGTGACATTCCGAAATTTCCGCCAATTGGAAATTATGAAATAACTGAGTTTTATGAGATGTGCTCGCAGTAAATTCTCGCCCGGAACTGATCATTCCTGGGAATGCTAACCATTAGGGAAAGGCTAATAGGGGAATTAAATTCGCGCTAAAGAAAATTCGATTGTGAATGGATTTCGACCATTAAATCGCGTAAGTGATATTTTGAGCCATTGTTAGCCGATCCAAGGATAGTTAGGGGTCAGTTCGCCACTGTCCTAGTAGTGGATTGCGGGTGATTCCATTGGACCACGAAACGACTTGACGAATGATTCTGAAATTATACCGAACGATCGTACCCCTCGGATCAAGTAATTGATCTTCGCGATTTTAATGACAACCGAGGTCGTCATGCACCGAACGGACTTGCACGTGACTCGATTTAGTATCAATCATAAGTTGATTTTGCGAATTTCCCCAGCAAGCCGCCCGTTAGCTCGAGAAACGCTCGAGATGCGTTTAATAGAATTTAATTATTGAATTTTTGCTCAAATTGGACACCGGAAAATTAGGAAGTCACGCTGGAACATTAGGACAACGTTGCACGTGACACGTGTCAATTTTTGGTGCGCTCAAATTCTTCGGAAAAATTCGATTTCGGCGAGAAATGGAGAAAGTGACGATTTTGCCCTTAAGGATTTATAAAAGGTTAGTTTTCGGCAAGGGGCATTTTGGTCATTTTTGCTTTAGATATTTGTGGGTCAAAGTTCCTATTTAAGTCTAGATAAGATTCTCTCTCCTCCATTTCTCTTCCCCTTTCTGCCGTGAGCATCCCCCCAACCGTAGACACTCTCTCTCATCTTTCTCTCTCTCCATTCTCTCCTTCTCTCCCCCAAATTGCCGTGAGCTTCCCCCTCCTCCACCGTGGGCTTTCCTTGGCCGTTCTTCCTCCACCGCCGGCACCACCGCTTGCCGCTACACGCCGGACCGCCCTCAAGCCGTCGTCCACGCCGTCCTCAAGCCACCACTATCCTCAAATCTCACCATCTCTTTCTCTCCCTCTCTCTCTCACGTGAGGCAAGACCCACGGCCAAGTAAGCCACGCCGTCGCCACCCAAGCCGATCGCCGCCACCCGGGAGCCGTACGTCGTCGCCGCCGTTCCCGATTAAGGGCCGCCGCTTTCCGTTCTAGCCGCGATAGTCTAGAACGCGGGTAAGTCGCGCTCTAAACCCAATTTAGGACTTCGGGTATCGACGGGCGATTTTGGGCGAAATCTGTATAAAGTTAGGTGCGAAATTGTATGAATTGGTAGTGGAAATTTTATGGCGGGCCTTGGGATTTAATTCGGGCATTAATTATTGGAAATTAGAAAATAACAGTGGCTGTGATCTACTGTTCATGGGGTCGTGATGGGCCGATCGGGACGCAAGTTGGATTTTTAGAACCAAGAAATTATGGTGAGAAAGTCCCGTGAAGGACCGGAATCGATTTGACGTCGTTTGGTTAGAGAAAAATAGCAATTTCTGTGTTTATTGTGCGTTTGGAATATAATTGAGTTTGGATAGTGGAATTGAATGTGTGATTGTGCAATTGGTTGATTTAATTATGACTGTTGGGTGCACGCGTGGCCAGATTATTTAATTATTATCATTGGCCATGTTGAATGCTGAGTGAGCATGGGTTGTGTGTAATTGATGCGTACACGGGCCACGTGTGATTGGCCAGTTGTGTATGGTACATACATGTTGAGTGTGTGCATGAGTAAGGAGAAGTTGTGGTGTGGCAAGTGATGGTGGGAAAGTGAGTGAAAGTGCGAAAGTGCGAGTTTGGGATCGGGCCGAGTATCATAAACTCGGGCCGCGATCACGTAGGTCTGTTGCATTTGGCACAGGCTGAGGCTTGAAAAAGCAAGAATGAGAATCGGTCGGAGGCACGATCAGCTCGGGTGAGACCGGGATTGGACCGAGGCTTTATAAGCTCGGGTTCCAATCAAGTAGGCCTGTCGCATTTGGTGCGGTCTGAGTTGGGATCGGGCCTAGGGCGTGTGATGCTCAGGTCGCGATTGGGGCCTAAGGCGTGAACGGGTACGCAGGCCGGATGTGGTGAATGGTCGCAGTGTACCTGAGGCGTGTACGTCTACGCGGGTCACTGGCAAGGAATGTGGAAAGTGATGATGAGAATGAAAGGAACGCACTATGTGGGAAATTGCATATGCGTGTGATTGTGTGTAATATGCCTGTTGTTTGAAGATTTGGCGCGTGTGAATGTGCTTTGTAATTGTCTGGAGGTACGTGATAGCTTAGGTTGGGTTTAGGGATGTACTTGCTGAGATATAATCTCATGATTGTGTAAACCAACAATTTTCAGAACCCCGATCTGAGCGATGAACCCTCCACCACCGCCACCAGTACGTTTTGGAGTACCAGTGCATACGGAGTATGAGGTAGCTGAGTTTCCGATGGGTGACGGGATGACCTGGATAAGACACACGACGATCGTGTTAGTAGAAATGGGAAAGCTTGCCTTGGATGAGAACCATTTTTGAGGTTGAACGTTAGGTCATCGACTCCTTTTTGATTTCGGTAGTTTTAGTAAAGTGTGCACTGGTAGACAGAGGTTTGTTTTATTGTATATATGGTGGAACAAGTTGAACAAGAAATGGAAATGTATATTCTCCCAATTCTCCCCAGTTTAAATTTGTCCGGGTATTTTTGGTTTCTGTGTGCGCAATTAAATCTCTGATGTTTAGTTGAGGTCGGCGATAACCTGGGACGTCGCAACTGTTCGACCGAAGGCGGGATGTCGCGGGCCCGACGGAGGGCTCGGGACGTGACATCCCCATTTGAATTGGTATCAGAGCAAGGTTAGCTCGATCTAGAATTGGTCGAAACTTGGAGTGATAAGGAGCGGAAACCTTAGGGTAGTAATTGGGGAAATCTTAGTGGGGTGTAGGGTAGAGTGAGCTACACGTGCCTCCAGATTGGTTGTTGTGATTGTTTGTGTAAGTCAATTGTGTGTGGTAATTGAATTGCAGGCGCGTCTGTACTTGAGGTAAGTGTTCAGACTTTGGCGATGGTGATTTCGTGATTTGTAGTGGGGAATTGCTTGTTGAGTAAACGGATGTGTTAATTCGCTGCTTAGAATTGGATTGAGCTAGTTGGTTTAGACTCCTAAATGGAATTACAGCAGGTAATAGAGTGGTAGAATCGTGACGATGAGCAGCGAAGGAAGAGGAGTAGGAAGAGTCCCAAGAAGGGGCGCTGGTAGAGGATCTAGGGGTAGAGGACGCGCTCGAGCTAGAGGATCTTGGAATGGGTGCTGGAGCGATGGAAAATTTAGGAGTTGATGCTGGAGTAGCAGCAAACCCCGGAATAGAAGTTAGACCTGTTGTGGACCCGAGAATGGAAGCTGTGATGAGAACGTTGGAACGGATTGGTGATATAATAGAACGGCAGACTCAGGAGCGAGCTGCTCCGGTTGCCCAAGCCGTCGAGGCTGTTGCTAATGAGAACCAAGGTCAGGGGCAAGTGGTTGCGAATAGACTTATGCATCAGCCGGTCGAACAATTCATAAAGTTGAAACCACCCAAGTTTTTTGGGAAAGGTGACCCGGAGGCTGCACCTCAATGGGTAGAGGAGCTTGAGAAAGCTTTTGAGGTTTTGGAATGTAACGATCATGAGAAGGTGACCTTAGCAGTATATCAACTGTAGGATAATGCTAACGATTGGTGGAAAGCCACCAGGGATAGGATTTTTCCTGAAGGTAAGCCAAGACTTGGGCTGTTTTTACCGAGAGTTTTTATGAGAAATACTTTTCAGCTAGTGCCAAAGAAAGAAAACTCGCGGAATTTATGAGACTCCGCCAAGGTCAGATGATGGTAGATCAGTACGAGGCGGAATTCGCGAGATTGTCTAAGTTCGCGCCGAGAATGGTGGAACACCCTGAGGATAAGGCGCGAAGATTTCTAGATGGATTGAGAGCGGACATCCGTAGCCAGTTGCTACTAGTAAATCTGGGAACGTATAAGCAGATATTTGATAGGGCCCAGATTCTTGAGCGGGATCAGATGGATAGAGCCGCCGCATCTGGATCGAAGTTTGTCCAGGGTTGGAATAACCGTAATCTGGGAAAGAGGCCGATGATGGATAATAGGCTTTTTACTCCACCAGTTAAAAGGAATATTGGAAAGCCAATCCGGATTGGGAATGGTTCGTGTAGGATTTGTGGAGGTCGACATGGAAACGGGCCTTGTCCAACCAGGGATGGAGCTTGCTTTGGATGTGGAGGATTTGGGCATCATATAAAGAATTGCCCCAATTCCAGGCAGAATAGACCGCTTGCTTTGCCGCCACCTCGGAATGAGAATCAGACTGGAGTGGCCCAGACAGCGAATCTGAATCAGAATAGGCCTCAAGCGCAAGGACGAGTATATGCGATGGCCAGACGAGAGGCTGAGAACGCACCAGGGGTTGTCACAGGTACGATTTCTCTGTGCAACCATGCTGCGTATGCTTTATTTGATCCTGGAGCGTCGCATTCCTTTATATCGAAACAGTTTGTGGAGTTAGTTGGAATAGAACCGCAATTGCTTGATGTTGTGCTATGTGTGACGACTCCTTTAAACGATAAGATGTTGATATCTCTGGGTTGTCCAAACTGTAAGATCGTGATTGGGGATAGGGAGGAATTGATCGATCTAGCGGTTCTAGATATATATGATTTTGACGTGATAGTAGGGATGGATTGGTTGTCTAAGTAGAGGGCTGTAATGGATTGCAATAGCAGGGTGATCCAATTTAATCCTGTTGGACATCCGGAATTTAAATTTGTAGGAAGTCGAGGAGGACCCTCGATTCTGTTGATATCCTCGGTGGAAATGGCAAAATTGTTGAATGAAGGATGTCAAGGATTTCTAGCTGTGATAGTGGATTCGACAACTGAAGAGCCGAAACTTGAGGATATAGCGGTAGTGTGTGAATATCCCGATGTGTTTCCTCAAGAATTACCGGGATTACCGCCGGAAAGGGAAGTAGAGTTTATAATCGAGTTGGCACCTGAAACTGAGCCAATCTCGAAGGCACCTTATAGAATGTCGCTATCGGAGTTAAATGAATTAAAGGTGCATATGCAAGAGTTGTTAAATAAAGGGTTTATTCGTCCCAATGCGTCTCCGTGGGGAGCGCCAGTTTTATTTGTAAGAAAGAAAGATGGATCGTTGAGATTATGTATAGATTACAGGCAGCTAAATCAGGTGACAGTTAAAAATAAATACCCTTTGCCAAGGATTGACGATTTGTTTGATCAGTTACAAGGGGTTTCGGTATTCTCAAAAATTGATTTGAGAACGGGGTATCATCAGTTGAGAATTAAGAAGGAGGATGTACCGAAGACGGCATTTAGGACGAGATATGGACATTATGAATTTACGGTGATGCCATTCGGATTAACGAACGCCCCTGCTGCCTTTATGGATTTAATGAATCGGGTATTTAAGGAATTCTTAAATCAGTTTGTGATTGTCTTTATCGACGATATACTGGTGTACTCGAAAAGCCGGGAGGAGCATGAATTTCATCTGCATAGAGTGTTGCAGACTTTGAGGAAGAACGCACTGTACGCTAAGTTTAGCAAGTGCGAATTTTGGCTTAGTCGAGTAGCGTTTCTCGGTCATGTAATTTCCGGAGAAGGAATTTCTGTGGATCCGTCGAAGATTGAGGCTGTGACAAAGTGGCCTAGACCGACAACGGTAACAGAAGTTCGGAGTTTTCTGGGTCTGGCTGGATATTACCGTCGCTTTGTGGAAGGATTTTCGGCAATAGCAATGCCGTTGACTCAATTATTGAAGAAGGAGAATAGATTTGAATGGACAGATCAGTGTGAAGGAAGTTTTCAAGAGTTGAAGCGGAGGTTGACAACGGCACCAGTGTTGACGATTCCATCAGGACCAGGAGGATATGAAATATATAGTGACGCGTCGCTGAAAGGATTAGGGTGTGTGTTGATGCAACATGGGCGAGTGGTAGCATATGCATCCAGGCAGTTGAGGCCACATGAATTGAATTATCCGACGCATGACTTGGAGTTAGCCGCAATAGTGTTCGCCCTGAAGATTTGGCGACATTATTTATGCGGAGAAAGATTTCAGATCTATACTGACCATCAAAGCCTCAAGTATTTATTTTCGCAGAAAGAGTTGAATAAGAGTTGAATATGAGGCAACGATGCTGGATGGAATTATTGAAAGATTATGATTGTGATATTCTATATCACCCTGGAAAGGCAAACCGAGTTACGGATGCGTTGAGCCGAAAATCAAGCATCGCGCATTTAATGGTCAAGGAGTGGATCCTATTGGAGAATGTGCGAGACTCGGAGTTCAAGTTTGAAGTAAGTCAAGTCTCGAGTCTGTTAGCTACGTTAAGGATTGAGCCGGAGATCCAGGCTAAAGTTAAAGCTTTGCAGTCTACGGACCCAGAGATACAGAAGGTTATTGAGATGGATGTTACTAAGAGAAAGCCGGATTTTAAGGTATCCGAGGACGGGGTATTGAAATTTCGTGGGAGGTTATGTGTGCCAGACGATGCGGGAGTTAAGGAAGAAATTTTGTTCGAAGCGCATCGCAGTCAGTATAGTATCCACCCAGGCAGTACTAAAATGTACAGGAATTTGAGGCAATATTATTGGTGGAACGGTATGAAGTCGGATATTGCGAAGCACGTGGCTAAGTGTCTGACATGCCAGCAGGTGAAAGCGCAACATTGTAAACCTGGAGGATTGTTGCGACCGTTGGAAATCCCAGAGTGGAAATGGGAGCATATAACCATGGATTTTGTGTCGGGATTGCCGAGAAGTCAAAGAGGTCATGACACCATTTGGGTGATTGTCGACAGATTAACTAAGTCGGCACACTTTTTGGCAGTGCGAAAGGATTTCGCGTTAGAATGGTATGCAGAGTTGTACGTGCAGCAGATAGTTTGCCTGCATGGGGTACCAGTGTCTATAATATCGGATCGTGATCCTAGGTTTACCGCCAATTTTTGGAAAAGTTTGTAGACGGCGTTAGGATCCAAGTTGCAGTTCAGTACAGCTTATCATCCTCAGACAGATGGCCAGTCTGAGAGGACGATTCAGATGCTAGAGGATATGCTCAGGGCATGTGTGCTGGATTTTCAAGGTAAATGGGAAGAGCAACTGCCCTTAGTGGAGTTTGCTTACAATAACAACTTCCAGCCGAGCATTGGAATGGCGCCCTTTGAATCGCTATATGGCCGTGCCTGTAGAACACCCGTGTGTTGGGATGAAGTAGGAGAACGAGCTATAACAGGGCCGGAGTTGGTTGAGCAGTCGATCGAGGCAGTTAAGATCATTCGTGAAAGGCTGAAGACAGCGCAGAGCCGTCAAAAGAGTTACGCAGACAGAAGGCGAAGACCTCTTGAATTCCAAGTAGGGGATCACGTATTTCTAAAAGTGTCGCCCATGCGAGGATTGTCCCGGTTTGGTAAGAAGGGGAAGTTGAGTCCAAGATATGTGGGACCCTTTGAAGTGCTAGAAAGAATTGGAGATTTGGCATATCGCTTTGCGTTACCGCTGAATATGTCGCAGGTGCATAACGTGTTTCACGTATCAATGTTGAGGAAATATGAACCGGACCCGACGCATGTGTTGAATTACGAAGAAATAGAAGTGGATGATAAAGTATCGTACGTCGAGAGACCGATCAGGATTGAAGATCGGAAAGAACGGGTTCTGAGAAATAAGACGATCCCAATGGTCAAGGTTATCTGGGAGCACCACGGGACTGAAGGCGCAACTTGGGAAAGCGAAGAAATGATGCAACGTCAGTACCCCCAATTGTTTGAGCAACAGTAAGGAATTGTAAATTTTTAGTAGTGGTAAGATTGTAAATTTCGAGGACGAAATTTTATAAGAGGGGAAGATTGTGACATTCCGAAATTTCCGCCAATTGGAAATTATGAAATAACTGAGTTTTATGAGATGTGCTCGCAGTAAATTCTTGCCCGTAACTAATCATTCCTGGGAATGCTAACCATTAGGGAAAGGCTAATAGGGGAATTAAATTTGCGCGACTAAAGAAAATTCGATTGTGAATGGATTTCAACCATTAAATCGCGTAAGTGATATTTTGAGCCACTGCTGGCCGATTCAAGGATAGTTAGGGGTCAATTCGCCACTGTCCTAGTAGTGGATCGCGGGTGATTCCGTTGGACCACGAAACGACTTGACGAATGATTCTGAAATTATACCGAACGATCGTACCCCTCGGATCAAGTAATTGATCTTCGCGATTTTAATGACAACCGAGGTCGTCACGCACCGTACGGACTTGCACGTGACTCGATTTAGTATCAGTAATAAGTCGATTTCGCGAATTTCCCCAGCAAGCCGCCCGTTAGCTCGAGAAACGCTCGAGATGCGTTTAATAGAATTTAATTATTGAATTTTTGCCCAAATTGGACACCGGAAAATTAGGAAGTCACGTTGGAACATTAGGACGACGTTGCACGTGACACGTGTCAATTTTTGGTGCGCTCAAATTCTTTGGAAAAATTCGATTTCGGCGAGAAATGGAGAAAGTGACAATTTTGCCCTTAAGGATTTATAAAAGGTTAGTTTTCGGCAAGGGGCATTTTGGTCATTTTTGCTTTAGATATTTGTGGGTCAAAGTTCCTATTTAAGTCTAGATAAGATTCTCTCTCCTCCATTTCTCTTCCCTTTTCTGCCGTGAGCATCCCCCCAACCGTAGACACTCTCTCTCATCTTTCTCTCTCTCCATTCTCTCCTTCTCTCCCCCAAATTGCCGTGAGCTTCCCCCTCCTCCACCGTGGGCTTTCCTTGGCCGTTCTTCCTCCACCGCCGGCACCGCCGCTCGCCGCCGCACGCCGGACCGCCCTCAAGCCGTCGTCCACGCCGTCCTCAAGCCACCACTATCCTCAAATCTCACCATCTCTTTCTCTCCCTCTCTCTCTCACGTGAGGCAAGACCCACGGCCAAGTAAGCCACGCCGTCGCCACCCAAGCCGATCGCCGCCACCCGGGAGCCGTACGTCGTCGCCGCCGTTCCCGATTAAGGGCCGCCGCTTTCCGTTCTAGCCGCGATAGTCTAGAACGCGGGTAAGTCGCGCTCTAAACCCAATTTAGGACTTCGGGTATCGACGGGCGATTTTGGGCGAAATCTGTATAAAGTTAGGTGCGGAATTGTATGAATTGGTAGTGGAAATTTTATGGCGGGCCTTGGGATTTAATTCGGGCATTAATTATTGGAAATTAGAAAATAACAGTGGCTGTGATCTACTGTTCATGGGGCCGTGATGGGCCGATCGGGACGCAAGTTGGATTTTTAGAACCAAGAAATTATGGTGAGAAAGTCCCGTGAAGGACCGGAATCGATTTGACGTCGTTTGGTTAGAGAAAAATAGCAATTTCTGTGTTTATTGTGCGTTTGGAATATAATTGAGTTTGGATAGTGGAATTGAATGTGTGATTGTGCAATTGGTTGATTTAATTATAACTGTTGGGTGCACGCGTGGCCAGATTATTTCATTATTATCATTGGCCATGTTGAATGCTGAGTGAGCATGGGTTGTGTGTAATTGATGCGTGCACGGGCCACGTGTGATTGGCCAGTTGTGTATGGTACATACATGTTGAGTGTGTGCATGAGTAAGGAGAAGTTGTGGTGTGGCAAGTGATGGTGGGAAAGTGAGTGAAAGTGCGAAAGTGCGAGTTTGGGTCGGGCCGAGTATCATAAACTCGGGCCGCGATCATGTAGGTCTGTTGCATTTGGCACAGGCTGAGGCTTGAAAAAGCAAGAATAAGAATCGGTCGGAGGCACGATCAGCTCGGGTGAGACCGGGATTGGATCGAGGCATTATAAGC